TTATAAGTCATACACAGATGTTTGGCAATTGATGCATTCTGAAATTGGCAAGGAAGATTTAATAATGAGAGATTATAGTAAACCTTCTTATACCAAGTTTAAAGTATGACATTCTTGCTTAGGAATTATTAATTATGTGCATATTTCATCATATTGAAAAATATTTATCTAGCAGCTAGTATATCTAAACTAATAATTTAAAGAGTTGTAAGGGGTGATCTCTGGATCTTCTGAACGGAATTTGAAAATTATTTTACCTATAGAAAGACACGTTATTTGTGTCATAAAAATAAATCAACCTGAAAAATTATGACTTGACTGACTTCGTGTTCGAATTAGTCGGATTTGCAAAGTAAGTCGGAGAAAAAAACGGTGAACGCTGCCTTAACAAAGAGATATATGATTGAGTGAGAAAATCTTGATAATGCCTCCAAAAAGTCAGTGATAGTTATGTCAAAAAAGGCAAATCATAAATTTCAATTAGGCCTATTAAAAAGGCCTTAGGAAGTCAAATTTACAAGTACTATATAAAAAATGACTCTAGTTGCCCCTTCCAAAAGGTAGTTTCATATAGAGAAGAATGGATAAGACACTCCATACTTACTCTTTTAAAATAGTTTTTACTTAAACTTATTAAACTCTTAATATATATAAATTACGCGTGACGTTGTTTGTCCGCTATGGACTCCTAAACTACTTAACCGATTTCAATCAAATTTGCACACCGTGTGCAGTTTGTTCTAACTTAAAAGATAAGAAATAGATTGAATTTTTATGCGTTTGGGTGGAGCCCTGGATGGTTTTGATTCATAAATCAGTCCGGCAGATGGCGCTACAGTCGGTATTTTCATACTGTATTTAATGTCCCAATCGCTTGAAATATCATACAGGACAACCTCTGTGGGGTCCGCTAGTATTATATAATAATAAGTCCACTCCGCCGTCCTGTCCGCGATAAACTCAAAAACTACTGGAATAGCGGTGACCACCAATATCTAGAATTATTTATGACGAAGATAACTCCGATTGCCAGTGCGAAGCCTGAACGGGTCGTTAGTACTAAATAATTTCATAATATTTGTGCAGTGATTTTCGTTTATTTCCTTTTCACAAATTGTGCGTTTATTTCTAATTGAAGCACATTCTCTGGAGCCGAGTAAATCAACAAATGTGACGCAATATCAAACGGTATTGTCGCCACTCAAGTGCTAGATTGAATGCCAAGCAAAAATCAGTTTTGATAGAAGGGAATAAGTTCTAAATTGTTCTGTGCTTCGCCGTCATTAAGTGTTCGGGCTCGAGTTTTGAATCACAGACGTGTTTAGATTAAATACTAACAAGTTGAAGTAATTGTAGGGTTTTCTAACTGTGACTGATGTGCTTCAAATTTAAGAATTACGGTTACTGACTGCCATACGCCAATTTTTTTCTCTAGTCTTGTTCTGTGACCAAAATTCTATACAAAGAGACACCAAAAAGGTTGTCTATTCGTGATTAGAAAAAACTAAAATAATTGTGTTTTTGTTTGGTTTATTTCAAATCAAATTTCATTTATCTCTATACTAAAATTGATTAAGCGATTGCAGCGACACCTACAATCTGCGCCTACAAATCACTGCGATGACGTCATACCCTCCGCTAACGAAAGTTATTCCGCGGGCTAAGGATATATATACAACTTCTCAACTGGGGCCTTCGGGCCAGTCAGTGGTAAGATTCATCGAGAATGCTCCCTTTAGATTGGAGACAACATCCTTCTGTCAGTCTACAATGCAAGACAAAATAGTGTAATAATTTCAGCATAATCTCTTGCGTTAGTACCTACACTAAAACATTGTAAACAAATTTTGTAATATCAAAAATCGACACCCTTGTAAAGTTTCCGATTATGGAAATGAGTTTAAAAGCTGTTACTTGAGACACTGAAAATTATGCCTCTTTATATAATTCAAGCTTCCTACTTAACATACCTACTATATACCACCATATATGGTATTTATTTGGTTCAGCATAATTGTTTCCTAGTTAGCTAATTACAATCAACTAAAGATTATCTTAAGTTAATTGTACCTATGTATTTCTCGAACATATAAAATTAGTTTAATATCCAAAGCTTTTTGTATTTGTAGAGCTGAACCAAAATGTTAAGTTTATTACAAAATTACTGAAATTAAGCATTTCATTAAGCAATAAGCTTTAATTTTACAATTATTAATTCACGTAATCTATAGAATGCGTGGTTTTTGTTGAATCTGTTGAAAATATTTAGTTTCTGTGGTCCTATAAAGCAGCTGCACCGAACCTTTTGACTTTTGAGATCTGACAGTTGACACCCACAGACTAGGGAAAAGAATGCGAGAAACTACCTAGTTACTTAAAACTAATGCCAAAAAAACCTACCTAGTTCAAATTTTTCGGTCTGTTAAAGCCTAAAGGGTACAAATTATTTTACGTTAATACAATATTTTTGCCCAAAAACTAATTGCCTAAATTTATTTAATTTAATGATGCTATAATAGCTTAAAAGCTACAAAAAAGGTCTTAAACATGTGTATCGCTCACTTATATCAATCGTCCAAAAATTACCTTGCTTAATACTTAATATACGTAAGTAGGTCTGTTTTGTGATGCTAATTTAACAAAATTGAGTGCGCAAGACCAGGTTATGAATAATTTGTATTGTATTAGAATACTTAACTTAAAGTTACTGGCATCTCACTACTATGAACTAACACTTGTACTACTTTGAATCTGACAACAATTTAATTAGTTGCTGTTGATTGTATGATCATTAAGAGTAGGTAAACAATATGTTTCTATTATATTACTTATTAAATAAAATATCTTATTTTTATTTAATTTGTTTTACAAAAGCTTGCCATCGCTCAAACCAATGTTAAGCAAGAATTCAAGATTTAATGTGACAACAAAACTAATGGATAATACAGGTTAAGAAAATTTTAAATACTGTATATTTAGGTTTTAATAAACGATATATTATATAAAATGAAAATGTGTTTATGTTTACCTTGTAACATATACTGTAGATATAGTATTATATATACAGTGAACTTTAATAAATAAAGAAAATTCATTTCAAATTCTGAGTCTTCTGATTCTGATTCTTGTTTTATCGAAGAAAACGTTCTCGTCCACACACGTTTAAAGGCCAAAATTCTAAGAATTGTTTTTTCTTTTAGACTAAGGAACTTTAATAACCACTTAGATCTTACACACGAATAAGTCTGTCACTCATTTGCTCGCGCCTCCAGCGACACTCAGACTAGGGCTCTTGTCTAGGTGCCAAGAAATCTGGAGATGTCGCGGTTATGAGATTTTTATTTTTACCTCTATTTTTGTGACTTTTTGATAAGACTATGGTATGTTGGAGGCCTATGTCCAACGGTGGACAAACCAAAACCTGACAAGCATATGATTGTTACTAAATGTTATATTGTATTTTACCTACTGTTAAACTTTAATTTTTTTCAATTCAAAATCATTGAGACAAGTATATCGTATTTAAGTTTTCTAAATAAAGGCTTTTTATTATTATTATAATATATAATACGGCAAAGAATATGTAGATAAAACCGTAAATGCAATAAAAAATTAATCAAATTAATCAGTTATTATTAAAAACAAGGTGACATATAGTTAACGACTAAACAACAAGTATATTGTATTCACAGTGAAAGTCAAAGTCAAAAATCATTTATTCATAAAGGTAACACATGGTTATGAACGTCAAAAAAAAAAATACAGTGAGCAGCACTGTTGGCCTAGTGGCTTCAGCGTGGGACTCTCATCCTTGAGGTTGAGGTCGTAGGTTCGCTACACGGCTGTGCACCAAAGGACTTTGTATCTATGTGCGCATTTAATATTCGCTCGGAGGTTGATCACTTACTTGCCTATTAGATTGACAAATCAACATGAAACTGATACAGAAATCTGAGGCACAGACCTGAAGAGGTCGTAACGCCACTGGTATTCGTAGTCATACTACGTTCTGGCCCGGTCTGGTCTGGTGGTGGAGACAATGGTTTTTTTTTTTCGGTGAAATACGAAAGCGAACAGATCTCTTCTCCCGGCTGAGTAGCAGAGATGTTGCTTAATAGTAGTGGTATACGAAACTTGAATAAAACCTAGGCGTTAATTTGCATACAAAATATAATGTTACTTGATATACCACGCAGCGTATAATAAGACAGGATATTATCACCAGCTGGTCCCATTTCAGTAAACGAAATCATTAAACACCGATAAAATCAATTGCCCAATATGTGGGCGTATATTTATTTTGTCACAATAATAGGCTGATAGAGGCATATTATACGATTATGTAATAAATAGGCCGTTGTTATCGGCTATCAATGATATTGTATAGAACCGATTTATATTCGTAATAGAAACCAGATATCGTATGCGGATATAGTCTGTATGCGTTTAGAAAATTAATTCTATTCCGTCTCCTTGCCGAATAGCTATACTTAATGATAATTGAAAAGAGAAATATATTGAAAATAGTTTAGTTCCTGTAGCACCTCGACGTCCGTCGTTCCACAACAGAGCGTTTTTAGGGCAGTTTTTGCCGCGTAACCACCACTATGTGGAACCAGCTGCCCACTGAAGTATTTCCGAACTAATTCGACTTAGGATCCTTCAATAAAAGAGCGTAATAATTCTTAAAAGGCCGGCAACGCACTCGCGAGCCGTCTGGTTTTGACAGTGTCCATGGGTATCACTTATCATCACGTGAGCTTCTAGGCTGTGTTCTTTAAAAAAATTTACTATACATATATATAACAGGACGAGTATGGATGGTGAGGGCTAAGTACACCTGATCGTGCGTCTCTGGAACATATGTAGAATGTACTTGAAAAGAGCTGGTCAAATGCACCCATAGCCAGAAAGAAAGAATGAATGGTTTAAATTTTATATAATTTTATTTTATAAAGATTTTTTTGTTTATAGAGCATGCGGCCGCGGGCGTGGCAGTGATGAGCGCGCGCGGCGCGGGCGGGCAGCGCTGTCAGTTAATCCTGCAGCGCTGCCTCGCCATCCACCTCGCCAAGCCGGGCACCGCGCCCGACGACTTCTGGATGTACGACTCCGGCTATCTGCTCTTCCAGGTGAGTCTCAACAATTTATATAAGTCGTAATGAATGGTAATGGGGAGAGGAACTGCTAAATCTATTATGCCTTTTACACGCTCAGTGATTTTTCGATACGTCAATTGAAGTCGTTACACTTTCTTTTAATAACTATTACTAAAATTATTAACCGCTTTTATTGTAATATGAGTTTTTATCGGTAATACGGACATTTTTTTTTAAAATGGGTCATAAAGATTTACCAACATCGGAGAAATGAGTTAAGTAATAGACATACAGTTATCCAAAACAAATGAAACTGTTTTGCACAGCTGAAAAAGAATTGATTGAAATTGTAAATCGTTGCCACTTTTGCCACCGTTGTAAAACCCACTGAAATATTTCAGAACCATTTCGACTTAGGGTCCTTCAAGAAAAGAGCGTACCAATTCTTAAAAGACTGGCAACGCACTTGCGAGGTTCTGGGATTGAGAAGAGTGTCCATGGGTGGCGGTATCACTTAACTCCCCTTGCTCTATAAAAATAATACGTATATCAGTGATAATTCTCTAATTTCGCTTAGGAGTTTGTTGTAAAAACGAATACAATTTTAATATTAGGAGTGGTTTATCTTCTGGAGGCTTCAAGAATATATGAACCAGATAGTGTCATAATATTTCATTCCTTAAACTTACTCCCTTGGGGAAACATAACAAATACCCCGAACAGCCCGCTTCTGCACCGCTTCTGAACAGCAACCCAAAGTAGTTCTGCGGTAACACCCGGTTTATTTCGGAAACACTTGCGAGCACTAAGCCACGGGCGAAATGAATCAAGTATTTCTAAATATCGATTCATTTATAGATATTGATTAATGATACGCGATGTTCAATCAATAGGCAATTAAAAATGCATGTGGTTGTATAACTAAATGGCCTAGCTATATCAAGTGTATAGCGAATCCAATTGAAATGGTTTTACGATTACCTAACGCTAGATTACTTTTGTACTAGAAATGACTATCAAGTAGTCAGTTAATAGCTCGAAACAGCACTATAGGTCAGTACTTATTTTCAATGCTAGATAAGATCAGTGAGAAATCAGATTTTCATGAAATTTATCCATGAAATTCAATTCTCTTCGGTCCGATATAATAATAACTGTAATCAAGGTTTCTGTTTTTTTATTATTAATAAAATAAACAAATCAGTGGCGCTACAACCTTTTTAGGTCTAGATCTCAGATTTCTGTATGTTTCATGATCATTTATCAATCACTTCCCTATTGCAAGTAGTATTCTTTGACTCTTATGTCATGTAACTGGTATAATCTAATGAAGGAATTATTTATGTTATTAATAAATAAATTCTTTTTACCATCCAAAACTATGGACAACAGCACATAATAATATTTTAACGAACATTGACGAAATGAAACATTTTTTTCGTTTCCTGTAATGTTTGGTTCTCTGGACATACGAGGTTATCATTCTACTGCGACGATAAGTGGCATGAAGGTCGGTATCATCTCATTACACAATACCATCTTTTATGAATTAGCCTTTAATTAAGGACATTTGCAATTTGAGTGCACGAGTGGTGGGCGCTACAATGTTGATCATTTCGACACCTAAAATCAATTTGGATTTTGAACTCTACGCCTCTGTTATAGAGTTGAAATTGTTTTATTCTGCGGTTTATCGACCACTATTGAAATAAGAGCAGTAAATGAAATGGTTTGTTTCGCGATACGGGTCTCAAGAATTTTATCCTTGCAAGGCTACGTGGCGCCATTCCAAATGAGTCATCTCGGTAAAGGTCAGGGAACCTGTATGAAAAAAATATTGTTCCTGATCTTTCTATTAGTTCTCTTAAAGGGAACATTTCCGCTGATCATAACCTACTTGATAGCTACATCATTAGGGCATAATGCCCTAAAACAGAAGTGGGAATGGGCATATAGCAAGATACACAGATGAAAGGTGGACTTTAAAGATAACTGTATGGAAAAGACCAAGGGGAAGAAGGAAAAGAGAGCGCCCCAAAAAGAGGTGGATAGAAGAATTAGAAGCGGTAGCAGGAAGTGAATGGAGAAAGGGGAAAATGAAGGGGTTCCGATCGACGATACTGAAGGTAGCTCGGATATAAGATATATAGGATAACAAGATAAAAATAATGTGTAAAAAATCTAAGCTGTATATTATATTTTAATGTCATGAATTGAAATTAATCGGGCTTTATTTTATTATTATATATCATTAATTCAGCGACAATAACTGTATAACTGTCCTTTTGCAATAGGAATGACAATATGTATTTATCTATTGCGTGCAACACTCACTTATTATGAGACTTTTGGTTATAAATTAAATTTGCCAATGGTTTTATTAAAAATTGACAATTTATACCTAATGCACAGTTTGTAATCTTTATTATCGAGAAAATATTTAAAAAAAGTTTTTAAACACCTTAAATTTACCCTGTCAAATATCTGAATTATGAAGTATCTATATACAGGAGTCATGAGTTTCGGTTTGGTTCCTACAAGTATATGTCGCTGTAATATGACATATATAACAGCATATGATGAACTGATTCTTCTGTATCGCTATCAGCTATAGTAGTTAGCCTATATCAGCTAACAACACATACAAAAGACTCATCAGAAACTTCTTTCCACAATTTTTGTATGACTAAACATTATATGATTTCTTCACATAAAATAAATGTATCAAACATTCAAACACATGTATGTTCTATACCCCATGGCCCACTTGTAAACTGAACGTTATACGGTTCAATATTTAATTTTCAGTCTGCAGGGGAAATTACGAAGCGGCAGACAAAGATAGCTTTCAACAAACAAAGGCGAGTGAGCTTTTGTTTGGCGAATTGAAATAACGAACCATTTATTTTTAAACGGATTTTATAAAGCTTTTGATTAGCACTTTCTTCTTTTGCTGGCATAAATGAGGCTCCATCTTCATGCGTTATGCTAATTACAGCGTATTCATCTATTAAATTATTTCTTGATAGATTAATCTATACTTATACTTATCTATAAGTAGTGTTGGCTTCAGCGAGCGACTTTTATCCCTGAAGTCATAGGTTCGATCCCTGGCTATATATGCGCATTTATAATTCGCTCGAACGGTGAAATAAAACATCGTGAGGGAACCGGCGTGCATTAGACCCATAAAAGCGACGAAGTTTGTCATGAATGTCAGAGGCTGATCACCTACTTGACTAGTAGATTGACAAATGATCATGAAACAGATACAGAAATCTAAGGTCCTGACGTAAAAAGGTTGTAGCGCCACTGATTTATATATTTATATTTTTCTATATAAAAAAAATAAACGCTAAATATGTTGTTAAGCCCAAAACTCGAAGACGGCTGAACCCTTAAGGCAATCACAGCTTTTATTTACTTTACTAATATGTATGAATGTAGCAACAATTATTTATTTATAAAAAACAGAATCCTGTCCTAACAGGTGACCCTAAAACGACAAGAATGCATAAGCAATGAAAAACACACAAACAAAATTACTTAATAAAAAAATACAAACAATATAACTTTAGTCAGTTTACTCAACGGACAACGGAGCATTATATTATTTTTTTTTTTTTTTTTTTTTTTTTTTTTTTTTTTTTTTTTTTTTTTTTTTTTATAATATTATTATTAGTTCAGAAAAATCACACATTGAAAACAGTTATTTCATAAAATATAATGTTATTTTATCCAGGATGCAATATTGCGATTTGACCCAAACAATTCGAGATACATACAGCCGACTTGTACACCTGTGTCTGTCCGCAATATATCTTGTAAATAAACAATGGACATGGGGTAAAGGGCGAGAAAATAACCTATGACCTGGCCATTCTTTACTTTCTACGGAAGGCTTATTACTCTAATGATATGTTATTATAAGATATTTCACTTATTAACGAGTCTTTCGTGCAATTTCTAATTGATTTTCTTTAGAAATAAGATTTCTGTTGTACCCTTTATAGTTCTTGGCTTCAGATTTCTGCAACTATTTTCTAGCAAGATTTAAATGGAAAGTACGAAAATAAAATTACATTGATTTCATTTCATCGGCTTAGACATTGTTATATTGCGGTAAAGAGATCTATAGAATATTGGTTTCTACTCTATGGAGTTACTCTTACTAAAAGATATAGAAAAAAAATCATTTCTCTAGAGTCTAGACCGTTCCTTATGACAAACTTATTTTTAACGCACGTTGGACATATGCTTCATCTTAGTAGTTGATTCTAATTTAATTGGTTGATAGTACCGGTGACCCCAGAGCTGGTGCTTTCCTCGCTCAACGAATAAGTATCGCAATACAGCGAGGAAATGCTGCCAGCTTTAAAAGTTCACTGCTACAACTGAACTTGTTCACTGAACAAACATTTTAAATATGTTTTGATTTTCCTATTAATAATTTTAAATTATTTTTATTATTACTTTGTAGGTTTAGAAAATTGTAAATACTATATACGTGATTGAATTTAATAAATGATTTCATTTTTATAGCAGAACTTAAATGCCAAAGTTTAGCTTGAATTTGTGTTTTACAATTTTATTGGATTCTGAATCCGGTGTTTTGATGGATATTGCTCGGTGACGCGAAATCCCTATTCATAGTAGGCTTTTCAAAGCTGAAGCGTTAGTTATGAAAGTGAATCGATTTTAGTAGCTGCTGTGTGGCATTGCCGATATTTCTTTGTGTAAGTGATATTAGATATATAATGCCAAGAGATGATTTACACTATTAACTATAGACCAATTAACACTAAAATCACACATGAGCTAGATTACTATAAGTATGTACTTTATAAACTAGCTATTTAGCAATCGGTATAAAAGGTAATAAGAAATATATAATATTATATTTGAGACTAGCTTTCCTCTGTTCCACTTGTATTAATTCGGTCTTAGCACGATGTTTTATAACCTAAATCTTTACTCGGTGAATAGACTTTTCAATGAAAAGAGAATATTTTTTTGTTAGACATCTGGTATAATGAAGTTTTTTTTAAAAATCATCTCATATAAAACTGCAGTACAGCACTTGTACTTGTATTGTCAACAGTTTCCACAGCGTACGTCATTTAGGAAATGTTATTGGTATTTTTCACACCTTGAGTGAAACGTAATTTCATACACGCTCTTAACTTTTTTTAAAATATTCTATAACCTATGTTCATCAGGAATAACTTGGGGTTCTTATGATGAAATAATTTTTAAAATCGGCCCTGTAGTTTTGGAGCCTTATCAAAATAAACAATCAAATCTATCTTCTGTATAATGTTACTGTAGTTTCATTTTGTGTATCTAGTCATATTTCATTATAAAACAAAAGATTTTGTACCATATTCGTTTATTCCATTATAAGTAACATGTAAAAATAAGTTCATAATCTCAGGTAGAGTTCAAAATAGAATATGGGTCTAAGATACAAATCTTACAACAAACAAAGAGAATGATTAAGTGTCAAACAAAGTTATCATTTATCGAAATTGAATGCAATAAGCTCAGCTGTCCCCAGACAGAACAGTCATAGCTGGCGCCTTCAACAATGAATCATGGAATTGAGCTTTGTGAAGCTTTGGGGCTGAGTAAGAGACAAAGACGTCAAATCCAAGGAGGCTATTGTGTTATTTAAAGGCGGTTATTAGAAAAAAAGATTAACCTTTAAGATACTAAGTCGCCATGGTAGAATCCTGTCCACTAACTGTCTGAACTCAATCAGGAACTTTTTATTAATAAATAAAATTAGAGAATATTGTAATAGTCTGCGATACTCTAGACTTAGTACATGAGCTTGTAAGTATTAGTTATGAGAGGCAAATCTTTGTTTTTAATTTATTTTATTATTATTAATTACTGAAGGTGTCATGTGAAACATGGTGTAATGGTTTTGTTTTACGCAATATTTGTAAGGTTGCAGCACCTTACAAACATTGCGTAAAACAAAAAAAAAAAACTTGGCGATTAAAAAGAGTGGCGGAGAGTTTATTGCCAGTTCTTCTATTTCGTTCTATCATATGCCCTTAATTTCAGAACAGTAAATGTAAAATTAGAAGCATTTCATATATATTTAGTTTTTGACGTTCATAAGTTCGTTTTGTAACCTACATGAATAAATGATTTTTGTTTTTTTTTTAATTACATTTAAACGTTCACGGCTTAAAATAGATGAATGAAGAATGAAGGATTGGAATTGATTGAAGTTATTATTATACTAAATTATGAAAGGAACTGGTAAGTTTCAATCTTATATGACAAAACACTATCATGGAATATGCTTAAAAGGAGTATTAAAAATATCGAGCACACCACATACACATCCTCACGTAACCTCTTTTTCCTTTCATAAATGTTTGAACCTTTTTTCATATATTATGAATCCCATCTTTGGCTATATCTTTAGTACAACTATTTTCGGTTTTATTTAATTTGTGTTAGCTGTAGGAGTACGAAAAAAATAAATAAATACGCACTTTCCCCTTTTATAAGATGGGGTCAGATCTTCCATCTCTAATATCTTTTTACACAATTGTTCTCTAAGTGACACACATCAAGATGCTTTGATGCGTCCGTACAATATTATTTTGGCATTTCCTCAAGAGCTTACGCAAAATAAACAACACCTATTTAATGGTTTGTTTATAAACCGATCTAAGTGCTTTTGCATTGCATTTAAACGGCAGGTTATTGTGTCAAGCAAGAAGAAAGTTCAGAAATATTATTTTGAATTGACGATTTTCAGATCAATTTTGTGTACAGATTTTTTTTCAATAAAGTTTATTATTTATTAATTGTCCCTAGTCATTACTTTGAATAATTTAAAATGCATTCCTGTTATATAAAGCTGGTTCTCGTTCTCTGTAAAGTGATTGGTAAATCTTGATATTTTCGACTATTTGTAACCTTTTTATATCTCTTGATATAGTCTTTGGACATTACAACCTTGCCTAATTTTAAGACTAATAAATAATTGAAGTCAAGTCTTATTCAATATATATGTATGTATAATACAATACTGTATGAATGACCGAGTTAACGCGTTGTTACAGCGTCGGTTAACATAGCCCTTAAAGTGTTTTCTTAACATTCTCTTGATTGTTTATCTGCAGTTCTTTGTACTTTTAAACAAATGGTAGAGGTTTGCGTTCCAATTTTAAAATAGCGCATTCAAAATAATTATGCACGCAAGCAAGAGCGGAATGTCTTTAGATGTTTCTGGCGAAATAAGTACAATACAATTCACATGAAACCCAAGACGGAAGATAGTAGAAAAAAAAAGATGATTTGTATAAGATTTTAAAATCAAAAGCTTCCCACGTTAACGTCTTTTTATCGATTACTCATTCGATTACGCGATTAATCGATAGTAATCTGTATGAAAGCTGGAAACGTTATTGTGAAGTATAATTTGTAATGGTTTTGAATAAGTTAGCGCCTTTGTAATCGAGTTCATATCGATTCATCTAGAAATCGCTTTCCATTCAATGAACCCGGTAGGTGAGGACAGTTTTAAATTTGGAATAGAATCACTTTTCAATTTGGTTTTGCGTGATAATGGCAAGTGTCAGAGAACGCAAAAGAAAAGATGAAACGACGGCTCGTTCGGTCTGATTGTGTTTGGTCAACACCATGTCTACTCCGTGAATACGTTATCGCAGTGTTTCCCAACCTCTTTGGTGCCATGCCCCATAATGAAAATTGAAAATCAAATTCAAATTTCAAATAATTTTAAGAAATTTTGTCCCTCATAATAATCAAGTTGCCTCTCAGTCGGGCGTGAGCCGGTTAACGTCACTATAAATGACGATATATATGATGTATATAATATATAAATGACATATACTTGTAAT